CGTGAAGATTGTCAATCATTTCATTTAAATGATATATATAATCATCCCGGGACTTGTTTGTAACCATGGTAATCATGAAAAAAGAAACTTCCAATTACTTCTGAGATACAAGCTATTAGGTACCTATTTCAGTGAATACCTTTTGATCAAACAGAAAGAAACAATCAAAATATTGATATGATATAAATGCTACTGTTTAAGAACTTATTACAATTATTATTTCAAACAAATTAAAAACTATATATTTTGTTAATTTTTCCAGTCGAATAGCTAATAAATAGATTAAAATGGTTACTTTTAATCTCAACTCTATAGGAAAGCAGTTTTTAACGTTTCGTAATAGAGAATGATATTAAATACACAGAGTAACGGGTTAGTAGTACCAAGCAACAATTGAATTTAGTATGAAAAACATTTAAACGTGGAACCATTGGACAACCGTTTCGTTCTAGTATAGGACACCTCAACAATGAACATCCACAGCAACACTAATCGAGAATCAAGCTGTGAATTTGTGAATGTGTAACTTAGATCGGCTTATAAAAACAATAAAATTCAACAATTTCTACAATCCTAAACTGAAAATTGTTTACTGTCTGAGAGAAATTATAATAAATTGGTTTACTTTCAATTATAAAAGATACATCAGTCTTCATCATCATAAAATCAACCAAAAACATAGTCACAACACAGAATTTTGTTGCTTTCCGGTGAAGATAAATACTGGTAGTGGTACAGTTATCTGATTCCCATTATCTGAGTATTTTTTTAAACTGAAGCAGATGGTTTACTTAAGGAGCCACACCCCGAGCCTTTGACCTGAAGGTCTAGTCCACAAGGCAGTGGAGCATCGTGAGGAGATGCAGTCCCATGTTAGCCAGTCACCAACAATTGGTTCATACGCCATTTGTTCCCTCAGGATACTGGAGACAGCCCATGTGCACTATTGGTTTGGAATCAGGGTATTCCAACTCCCCTAGGTGGAATTTCCGTGTCCAGCAAACCGGTTAAAGCGCCGGACATGCGCTTTTCGTCCTCTCAATTTCGTAAACAACAGTAATGCCACTTGAAGACAGTAAGTAGGACTTCCATGGCAGAGGCTGTAAACGCGTGGCCTTATGAGAGCATTTCGAGAGGAAGAGCGGACTCTCCCCACTCTCGGCCGTATCAGGGCATTTGGGGGCTAAAAATATTGATAATTATTACTGAAAATTAATAAATTAAACAATACAAGGTATAAGTTGTAAATAAGACAACAAATGAGGATTTATTTGATATCAAAATCAAATTCAAACAAATATTTTAAATATATTGATTTTTAATTGATTGATTTTATATTGATTATTAATAGTTAAATTTGAATGGAATTTAAAATTGAATAGTACTTGATATTTAAATAATCAATAAATTAATAGTATGTATAATTAATTTGTTCATTTTTATTACTACTTGTTAAAATATGATTAAATGTCATAAGCATTTGAATAGAAAGTTAATTTCGTATGTTGCTTTCACTTTAATCAATTATTGTTTTGTCTATTATAATATTATTTATATGTAGTTGAGATCATGAGTCAATCAAAGCTAGACCACCATGGAAAACCTGAGAGCACTAGATGGCCGTTTCGTCCTATTTTGGGTTTCTTCAGCAGTGCGCACTCATGATCCCACCCCGCGAGATTCCAACCCAGGACCTACAAGTCTCGCGCGCGAGCGCTTAACCATTAGACGACTGAGCCGGCCGTCACCCAACGGTGTTAATGTTTAACTTCAACCAATCCACGAAGTTGAGCAACCATTCACCAATTGTCTTCAGTGAGTTGATATCTCTCAATAGACATGGTTGAACTCCACCGGTTACTACTTCCCACTAGAACTCCAGGAAATATTTCATGGAGCCAGTCACTTATGAGCATATGATAATGGGGTTTTTTGTGGAGATTTTTAGTAACTTTTTATATATAGTTGAGATCATTAGTTAATTGAAGCGAGGTGGGATCGTAGATGCGCACTTCTGAGGAGTCCCACAAGAGGACGAAAAGGCCGTCCAGTGCTTCCAGGTTTTCCATGGTGGTCTAGCTTCAATTGACTCATGATTTCAACTATATATAAAAAATTAATAAAAATCTCCACAAACAACCCCCTATTATAATATTAGTTTAGTTAACTAATCTGCTTTAATTGAATATGTAAAATGTTTATTTTATTTTTTGAATAAAATTAGGTAATCTCAATTAAATTTCGATAAAAACTAGTTGTGAAAAGTAATGACGAGCACTTCGTCCTACATGGGACTCGTCAACTGGGTGTAAGTACATCCCTATATTAGTATGTCATTAATATCCACTCTCCAAATTTAGAAAGAAAAATTTTCTTCACTAAATATATCTAGACAATCCACTTAGAATGCATGTATACTGAAATTGACTGATCAGTTGAAGTTTTTAAAGCCAATAACAGGAAAATAAAAATTACTATAAATCGGAACTGTTCCTTATCCCCGAAGCATTACAGTTTGGTATCAACTAGAGAACTAATGAAGGTCATAATACATCAGACGACTATTTCTTTCATATTTAAGGCTCTTTAGCTGTGTGGAACTACAACTCCATAGAGTATGTAGGATATTTATCTGTTATATCTCCTTAAAAGAACTTTGAACATGTTTTTCCTGAAACTAATGAATAGTGGGCAAACGATTGTTATTAAAGCAAGAGCTTATAAAGGTTGTTCAATCTGAATTTAGTGTTTCACTGTGAATTAAAATCAACTGGAAAAATTCATTATAGAAACTTTTGGTTCAATTTATTAGGATTGCTATGTAAGTATTATATCGTTGTCTGTTTTGCTTATTGATTTTTTTTATATCTGTGATAGATTATTTAGCCGATTTGATAATAGTCAGTATATTACTGTTTCATCCAGACAATTAACGTCTTGATATTTTAGCACAAAAAAGTCTAGTTTCCAACAAGTGAAGTGATAAACTGACTTCATAGTTGTTTGTCTTTCCAATGATTTTCGAAAGTTTTCACAATGTGTTTAGATTATTTTATTTATTTATTTGAACACATAAATATTGGTACAAAGGGGCACCGAATACATATGCGCCGGACAAATCTCATTTGATTTGTGTGAGGGCTGTGATACTGCTCATGTGCCCAAACTGAAGCAGGTGGTTTTCTTAGGGGGCCACACCCGGAACCTTTGACCTAAAGGTCTGATCCATAAGGCAGTACAGCATCATGAGGAGATGCAGTCCCATGTTAGCCGGTCACCAACGATATATTCATACTCCATTTGTTCCCTCAGGATACTGGAACCCATGTGGACCATTGGTTTGGAATCAGGGTTTTCCAACTCCCCTAGGTGGATCCTCTACGTCCACCAACCCGGTTAAAGCGCCGGACATTCGCTTTTCGTCCTCTCAATTTTGTAAACAACGCTCTTGGTGTGAGAAGGCAGTGAGTATGACTTCCCTGGCATGGGCTATATACGCGTGGCCATATGAGAGCATTTGGAGTGGGAGAGCGGACTTTCCCCACTCCCGGCCGTACCAGGGTATTTGGGGGCGTGTGCTTAGATACCCTGGTAAATATATAGAATACTAAGTGAGTTATAATGTATTTTGTTAAATATACTTAGAATTGATGGATTATAACTAGGGATAGAATCCTAGCTACTCGTTCCATTCAGTTTAGGACTCATCAGCTGGATACACTAATATCCTAGTAATGTCGTACCATTACCTATCTCTTATAACGCAAACGCATTATCCACTGAGTTACTAAATGCAGTTGGTTACTAATTCATTTGACAGGTATGATGTTTACATTTGTTAGTATGACTTAAATTTCTCATTTCCCAAGGAAGTTTTCATAATATTCTGTTTCAGTCATAGAACATTAGATAAAAAAGTGTGACGAAGTTACGAAATTTATTTATAGACTTTGAAGAGTACTAAGTATTAACTAACCTAACTAGTAAGAATTTTTTACTTTCTGGGATAACTTAAACACTTATTAATACCGATATTTGACTTTATTTATCAAAACTTTGAGCTATACACAAGGTATGGAGGTTAATAATACTACTTTGGGAGGTTGAAATCTATTGACATGGACAGAGAGATGTTCAAACCTCAGTCAGTCATAAACAACGTAACAAACTAGCACCGATATGCATTACCCCACCACACCACGTCAGTACAGTGACATGAATTTGTCATGATGAAAATAGTGGTATTAGTATTAGCATTAGTAGTAGTAGTAGTAGTAGTAGTAGTAGTAGTAGTAGTGATGGTTAATGAGTAGCAAATGTAGAGAACATGATCTCGTTAAAAGCTGACTACTTTAATCCTTAAGCCATTACAGTATGTTGACTACTGGGAATATGACAACAAACTTTATCAGGTAATAGAAAAATAGTTTTAGTAAATGGTCAACGATGACAACTTTTTGACAAATAACCAATCCCATAATCTCCACAAAAATCTATACTTGGAATAATCATGTGTTCACTAGTGACTAACTTCAAGAAACAATTTGGGAGTTCTAGTAAACAACTGTGATCACAAAAGTTCAATCATGTCGAGTATGAAACAGTTATCCAACACAGGCAACAGTTGATGGTTACACAGCATATCTTGAACTGATTAGAGTTAAACATTAATACAGTTGCATACCGGATAAGTGGTCTAGAGGTTAATAGTTTGTACACGAGATCAGAGGCCGTGGGTCCCATTCCCGGTTGAGGGATTGTGAATGAGCACTGTTGAGGAGTCTCATACTAGGATGAAACATCTGCTCCATGTTTCCTCATTTTCAATGGTTGTCTAACTTAAATTAAAAAAACTATAACAGTTCTATAACGTCTACAAAATCCTATACTGAAAACAAAGAATAGTCAAGTAAATTGGTTTTTTCTTCATCACTTTTACTCCTTTTTTTACAAAAATAATGAACAATGAACAAAAAAAATAAAGAATTCAATAAACTCACTATTACAGTTCCTTGAATTTCTTTATATTTTCTCCGTTTTACAATTGATCGTTTATCATGAACATTCTCTTTACCTTTACCAGTAAACCAATTTGAAATTGTTGAACAACCATGTGAATGAGAATTTATAGAAGATATAGTTTCTAACGATTCAGGATTTATAGAAGATATTGGTAGTGTTGGTGGAGGTATGACTACTTTCATTTTTGATTCTTGATCATAATGTGATTTCTGTTTAAAATGTGAAAGAAAACGACTGAATTTTCCATGTTTTTTATGTTTCATTGTTGTTATGTCATCATTTGCTTTAATGATTTCAGAGTTATTCATTTATGGTTGTTATTTCAACAACAAAAAAAAAGATAATTATTTTGCAATAGTTTAGACAAGATTCACTGTACTAAGAATTTGTCGTATGTACGTTGTACACTATTCTACTATGTATATGAGTACATGCAAATATGTGTTTGTGAGATATATATATAGGTGTGTGTGTGTGTGCGTTAAATTATATTCAAGTGATCTATACATAAAAAAGGTGAATTATACACAGACATAGTGACAGAAAAAAGGTAGATTAAACAATTACTCAATATATATACATATACGTACATATAAATACCTAAACTATACTGTTCCTCATTGTTAATTACCCAATTACAAATAAACATTGAATTAATGAACACTTTCAAGAATAATGAAGATATACCATATATACACCCTATAAATGATTGATTTTCATTTGACCGAGTATATTGTACAATATAGTTCTTTCATTTTCAACTCTATATATTTAATTTTCATGACACTTTCAATAATTATACTATTTAACAGTTAGTTTTAGATTTGCTAACTGAAACATTGTACATAACCAATTAAAACAATGAGTTTTAAAAGCCAAATATTTATTTGTTCATTTAATGTTACCGTGTATTTCTTAGCAGATAATAACACTACCTCATAACTATGAATTATTTATACTTACTTACTCCGCCTGTAGCTCTTCTAGAGTTACTACCGGTCCCAAGCCTGGATGAAGGAGAAGGGTTTGCAACACTATTCCGTAGAAGCAAAAAAAACGCCAACCAGATTAAACAAATTAACGATGAATTGGGTGGTCTATCGGTTAAGTGCTCGCGCGCGAGACTGATAGGTCGTGGGTTCGAATCTCGAGAGGCGTGAGTCACACAATAGGAAGAAACAGCCGTCCAAAGCTTCCAGGTTTTTCATGGTGGTCTAGCTTCAATCGACTCATGATTTCAACTATATATACTGGAATATATTAAAAGGATTTTTAGAATTTAAATATGAAGTGACTGGTACTGCTAATAAACTGTCATGATTGAAATGGTAAGAAACAGGGAAAATTCATTCAGTGAACCTAGTTTTAAGATAAATAAAGCTACGAATGTGTACTATTGAAGAGTTTCAATATAGGACTAAACAACTGTCTTCTATTATCTGGTTATAGATGTTTTGTGAATGACGTCAATTTCTCATGAAAATTTACTCTCCAATAAGTCAGTTAGATAGGAAAATTGTAAGTGTTATATCCTAGTGAAGAAATAAATGAGGGTAACTTCCGGGAACCTATTGATGGACGATTATTTTATATATATTCTTATTGTCTAACTACTGAGCAATTAGATTGTGTATATCTATATTCATCTTATTATATGCTTCATTTTTACCTATTGATTATTATTATAGGACTTACTGTTCCTAAATTATACTCAGTTTATTGATTACTGTCTCTCACGTTCACAGCCACATTTGGCTTGATCTTGTACAAATATTACTTTCTATTTCGAGGTGTGATGTGGTCCCTCTGTCTTGTATATAAACCGAGTATGTTTGAAATAAATGATTCGCATAGATTAGCGTAGCATAACCTGCAATCGGTGTTCTGGACCCAACTGGAAGGGCTAGGCGGGCAAAGGACCAATAAGGACGCTAGACTACTAATACTGGTCTAACGTCATTGATTTGTCACAGTGTTAAGGTCAGAAAAGTCATATTTCGATTGGTGGATAATTCATGTGATAAAAGCCGGACGAATTAGCATACGGCCTTCTTTATTTTTTAAATTCATAACACTGAGGAATTGAAGATCCATGAAAATACTGTCTTTTACAGTGTACTGAGTAGGAAAGAGCACGAATATCATTACATACCACCTTACAAGAGACCAATTCGTATAATTGTTATTTCTTACTTTATGGTTCGATGCACTCTGGTCTGTTTATATAAAAACTAAATATGTTTGAAATATAAGAACGATCTTGAGCTGGTGATCATTGGTCTTTTGTTATTCCTCTTCGTTTGAGGCCAGCTGTCATGTACAGAGTATAAATTTCTTTCGTCCTTGATGCGTTTTTGTTGCCTCAGGTCGTTTTTGAGTATTGGTCGTTTTTAGGATAAAACAACAGTCCATTTTCTATAACTGACATTGATAATTAAATATAAAAATCATATTCATTGAACAAGATAGTGGCTATCTGGACTTAGTAGCTGAGTGCGGATTGCATCAGTGTTTAGAGTGACAGGTATTGGGTATGGGTCGTAGTGTAAACATCCACACTTGGATAAAGCAGATACGTCCGATTAATGAGTTTCAAACGGTAAAAATCTCGTGTCCTGGATTCCAAAACTAGCCACATTCTATCTTTCTCAAATAACTTATGATATTCCAATAATACACACAGGATACCACACAAGAATGATCAAAATTCAATCTTGAGTATCAACAACGGAAAAATTCAACTCCATACTAAAGACAATATAAACCAGTTCATCGGTTTTTTTCAATTTAATCACTTCAGTCTTCAGTGTAATGATTACTCAGTTAATAGAATAAAAATTATTAAAATTAATATAGCAACCAAACTGATAAGTTTATCATTGGCTAATTCAATATCTGAGCTCACAGCCATTAGCCTATTGACTGTGTGCGAATACATATGTCACGAACATTAAATCTACTATTTTCATACAAAATATGTATTAAAAAAATTGCAAGGCAATTCATCAAGTATTATACTAAGAACATAATTACTGCTGCGGTTTCGATTTATAATGATAGACTGATCGATATTGTACAACACAAATCAACTTACAATGTAACTCAAACTTTCTTTAGTTTTTAAACATTGAATATCATCTCAGAAATTCCCATTACTGACTAATTTTGAGTGGTAATTTATAGAGTTCTAGTGAGTTACCATGGTCTATGGGGTTCAACTCTGTCAGTTGTGAGGCATTCGTTCACCAATGGCACTGAAGGATGGTTACATGATATCAATAGTTGGTTGGTGCAAAATATGTAGACTGATTAACACCACCCCATTGATGAAGTTCATAGGTCATAGTTTCAATTCTAGTCAGGATTGAAAAAAACCCACTGCTGAAGATTCTTATATTAGCCGATACTGTTGTTTAGTGATTCTCAGTGGTTATTTAGTTATGATCAATTCTCCGTGTGAACAATAAAACTTATTTTGGCATAAAACTTAAAATCGCTGGATTCATGCCTAAATAAGAAGCAGTTAAATATGTTCACTTCTAATATATATTAAAGTAGGTTGATTCTTAACTAGTAAATATACCACAGTCAACATATTAAATTAGAAGCTTGATACTTAGGTCATTTGACAATTAATAGATATCTTAAGGTAAACTTTATCGACCAATGAGAAAAATGCCATCAACTGTTAGTTAAGACATTAAGGCAATTAAAATACGTATTTACAAGGATATTCCATGCACTGGAATGATAAGCTAATTGCCAGCTGATGAGAAATTTTAATTAGCTCACTTAATTTACCAAGAAGAGTTTTGTTTTGATGGTATTGTCTAGAAAAAACAGTGAAAACATCACAAATAAATCAGCCTCCTTGAGGAATTCAGCGGTGTCAAATATATTTCTACTCTGTCTTTACTCTCCTGAGTTAACATGTCATATTGTTACAGTTTCTAGTTTTATTTTACGAATTAGTTTGACTTCAATCATATTGCTGACATATAAACTGACTAAATTTTATCGACTAAGTCGTAATAATAATTCGTTTAAAGTATGTAAGTCAAATAAATGAATAGATTGTATCTTGTCAAGAAAATGATAATGACGTTGATTTTAATCGAATAACTTGGTAGATCGGTACTGTTGTTCTATCTAACTGATTGTGTGACAACACTGAACAATAACTGATCTCATGTTTGCCTAATCCTTAGGGTTGATTGACTTCAATCAATTTAGTTACAATGTGCCGGTCATTAATTTAAGTGACTTAACATTTCATAGACCATACTTAGACGTTAATCAGAGAAGATTGATACGGAGCTCTGACAGTATTTCCGGATTGTTGACGCTAGTTCAAATCTCACAGGAGGCATCAATCCTCTGAGGGATAATAAGTGATAAAGTGAGCAGACAGGGCTTCCTAGAAATTGCCTCCAACTATCTAAGACCGCAAAAATCGAGAACTTAATTTTGTTTATTTCATTGGATCTTTTATTTTATTTATTTAAACACATAAATATTGGTACAAGGAAGCACCAGATACATATGAGCCACACAAATCTTATTTGATTTGTGTGAGGGCTGTGATACTGCTCGAACTGAAGCAGGTGGTTTTCTTAGGGGGCCACACCCGGAGCCTTTGACCTGAAGATCTAGTCCACAAGGCAGTGGAGCATCGTAAGGAGATGCAGTCCTATGGTAACCGGTGACCAACGATTGGTTCATACTCCATTTGTTCCTTCGGGATACTGGAGCCCATGTACACCATTGATTTGGAATCAGGGTTTCCCAACTCCCCTAGGTGAACTTTCCGTGTCCACTAACCCGGTTAAAGCGCCGGACATGCGCTTTTCGTCCTCTTAATTTCGCAAACAACAATAATGCCACTTGAAGGCAGTGAGCAGGACTTCCATGGCAGAGGCTGTAAACGCGTGGCCTTATGAGAGCATTTCGAGAGGGAGAGCGGACTCTCCCCACTCTCGGTCGTACCAGGGCATTTGGGGGCCACTGAATCTTTACACTGGTATATAATTAATAATATGAGATACTATAGGGGATTGATAGCTAACTATCTCTAATAACTTCCAACTTATTTCCTACTGTTATTAGCCCAAATTAAATATGTAAACTGGTTTTCATTGTTTGATTTCCAGAAAAAATCTACATTTAAACAATCGTATTTGTTACAATAGGTAATTCTAACGAATAGTTAACATCACATTTTTATTCAGCTGACCATTACTATTGATATCGTTAAGATCGATTGCTTGTAATAAAGGTTTTAAAGGTAATTACACTTTCTCAGGATATACATAGTGTTAGTTATACATATATATAATGTTTTACACTGAAATCATTGATTATACGGAAACTAACTATTCACTGAACGTAAAAAGCGTTGCTTTTGAAGTAGGATTTAGTTTTAAGGTCACCTGAGAAGTTTGAAGTAGAAAAATCATTCTTTTTGGTAACACAGTTTAAATTAAAATTAAAGTCACTAACCAAATTATTGTTATTTTCTAACCACTTTATAGACAAACTTTTGAAGTCATTTTTATTTTAATTATTCTAGATTTTATCCTATTTCAAACTAAAAAAAGATCATATGATATATTCGGTAATTTAATGATCAAAAGTCTCTTAACTACCACCAAATACTAGAATAGAAATGGGCTTATGTGTGACGATGGATCGTCGAGACTACGTGAATGGACGACTTTTTAGGGACTCTGAAGTGACCTGGGGAAAC